GCGTAGGTCGGACTTGGCCGACCCGCGTGGGCGCGGGTCGACGCGGTCCGACCCGTGCGGACGCGGGGATTTTGGGGTTTTGCTGAGTTCTTCGGTGTTTTTCGATTTTCCAGGACTTGTATTTTCTACCGTTTTACGTGTTTGACTGTCTTGTTTACTTATACGATTTGTTAACTTGCTTCATACGCTCGTTAGCTTCTTTACGGCACTTAGAACTGACCGATAAGCGCAAATTGACTGACGAGTGCATTCGGTCGCTTGGAGTTGATCGACGCGCGCGTGTTTGATTGACGCGTGCGAGCTGATTGACGCGTGCGAGCTGATTAACTCGCGCGAGCTGACTGACGTACGCGTATTGACTGACGCGTGTGAACTGATTGACGCGCGCGCGTTGACCGACGTGCGCGAGTTGGTTGACGTGAACCTTCTCGATTCGTCCACTCTTTGATTCAAGTTGTATTCGAGGACCTATAGGCAATTTTTGACGCCTACAATTAATATTTGTGTAGTACAAGCTAGGAAAAAGTGGTAATTTTTCTAATACACATTTATTACACAAAACATTAGTTTAAATGTAGAGACATTTGACATCATTCTCGTTTATTGTCTTAATCATTATCCATTTTAGTGAATATTTTTAAAGCTTGTTGATGTCAGTTATCGAACATGGGGTTTATCAGTGGATTATAGGGGTCCTCAAACTTCCTCAGATGATCGGTTCTGAAGCATGACGTTCTCTCCTGCACATGAAAAGCTCGTGAGAGGGCAGAGTTGGGTTCTCTGGTTGTTCCTTTGACGATCAAGTTAGTGTTTGAACTTGAGTGAGAAAATGAGAGGTGAGTGATGAAAAGCTGCTTAGAATCTCAGGAAAATAGGACGAATTACCTTAGGCAGCATAGCTTATTTTTGTAGTAGATTGAAAGGGCAGATAGGTAACTTTGGTCAAGTCCAGACATGCTACTGAATCGGTAGATACCTTACAGGTGTCGACCGTTGTAGAAGGTGAGTCATCCAGGCGTTTAATGTGAGGGCGACAGCAAGTGCTCAGTGCTAAATATGTCCGATGAGTCATAAACACTATGAGGACTAGAGCAATGGTGACTCTGACGGTGCATTTAAAGCAAGAGTAGTCAGTTGTCGGCGGGGGGTTCAAGGATACTGCCTCTTTAGTCGTCTGGCTAAAGGCCGACATACACCGCCTTTTTAGTCGGCTATGCAAGTTATCAGCTGGAATGGCGGGCTGAGTGCGGGTGCCTATAGCATCGATCTGGTGGGTAGACCGATAAACACCGTCTTTTTAGTCGGTTACTCATGTTATTGGTCTATTGGGTTGACCGTAGGAGTAGCTCGAGTCGTCCGTCTTTCGATATGTCTGATTAGGTAGGAGTGAGACACGTGTCGGCCTGCTGATAAGGGTTAGTACTTAGTTGTTTGTAGGCTATAACAAAGCTTAATAAATTTCTTTGGGACTTGATTGAGAATAATGCATTATCTATACTAAATTTTGTTCCATCAAGGAATATTAAAATAGCTCTTTTAGAGCTTTCAATTAGTTTTATACTTCCAAATATTGTATTGACTTCTGCCTCTACCATTGTCAAATGGGAAAAATATTTCTTATCTAATAAGTATGGTGTGCATTGTTACACTATTTGCGAGACACATATCTTCATGATTAATCATGAATCCAATTGAAGAGTCAGAAGTAGCCATATTTTTCTTCATTAAATGAAGGTAAAATATATTGTGAGAAATATTGGCAATGAACATAAATTGTTAGTATATTTAAGTTTCACGTTAAACTCATAAGAAATCATATAGTAAATACAAACACTAAAGAATAACTTCAGTTATTTTGGACATTCTTGTCACCAATTAGGTGATTAATTCCACCTTCAGGGCTTTCGAAGAAATCAGTCACATCTAGATGTATTATGTCAATATGATCATCATGGTCAAAATCTTCATTTTGGTAGGTAAAATTTACCTCTACAACTCTTCTTTTTTTCTTCTGAGATGTTTGATATAGCTCAAAGAGACGTTTTAGTGTACAACAAGTACGTAACTAATCTGCTTTCATGATGTAGTGATAACATATGTTTTCTGAACTCATGGAATGCTTGTTTTGTCCACTTTTATTGTTCTTGTCAATATTGTTCCGCTTCTGTTGGTAAGATTTGTTTTTGTGATTGGAAGAGTTATTATTATGACCACCGCAGTCATGATCATTATTTTGACCTCGCCCACGTCCATGATCATGACCTCGAGCTCATTCACGCCCATTATTATTAAATGTTGTTGCATTCACTTCAGGGAATGGAGCAGCTCCAGCTAGACGAGCTTCATGGTTTTTCATTAATAACTCATTGTTTTGCTTAGCTGCAGGAAGACATGGAAATAATTCAGAGTATTTTTTAAAACCTCTCTCTCGATATTGCAGCTGCGGGAGCACATTTGAGGCGTGAAAAGTAGAGAGTGTTTTCTCCAACATATCCTCATTAGTAATATTTTTTCCGCACAATTTTAATTGAGAGGTAATTTTGAACAGTGCCGAGATATATTCACTAACTGTCTAAAAATCTCGTAGTCTTAAATGCATCCAATCATAACGAGCTTTTGGAAGTATTATTATTTTCTGGTGGTCATATCTTCCCTTTAAACTTTTGCAAAGCACAAGTAGATCTTTCACTGTAAGATATTTAATTTTAAATCCTTCATGTATATGGTGACGAAGGAAACCATTGCTTTGACATGGTTTTGAAAAAATATTTGATTCTCTTCTTTTATTGCGTCTCCTAGACCCATAGCATCCAAATGAATTTTAGCATCTAGTACCTATGATAGATAATTATTTTGAAACCATTGCTTTGACATGGTTTTGAGAAAATATTTGATTCTCTTCTTTTATTGCGTCTCCTAGACCCATAGCATCCAAATGAATTTTAGCATCTAGTACCTATGATAGATAATTATTTTCGGTAATGTCAAGAGCAACAAATTCAAGCTTTGTAACATTTCACATGCTGACATATAATAAATAACATGTTGTAGACAAAATATAATAATTTTGTGTGCAAGCATGTTTTATATATAAAAATATCAAAAAATGAACATATCATTAATGATTTAAGAACCATGCTTCAAATTTGTGAGGTATGGGATCTTAAACATTTTTTCAAATTCATATACGTGATAATTGAAAGCAACACTTCAAATTACGTGTAGCTTTGTGAAATTTAAGCCCATAAACGAGTGGCTGTGAGAGTTCTCCAGTGGGTCGTCCAACGGGTGAAAGGCCCAACAGTACACGTACGGATGGAGATATCATCCCCGCTGTCCACCTCTCTTAAAAAAGCATCCCCAACGGAAGCCCACTTTGCAATCCCCGCCTTTCCCGCCCAAAACCTCGCCGGGAAAGCAAAGAAAATGACAACCCTCTCCTTCCCCCAGCTCCCCTCTCTCCCGCCACCCGCCTTTCCCGCCCAAAACCTCGCCGGGAAAGCAAAGAAAATGACAACCCTCTCCTTCCCCCAGCTCCCCTCTCTCCCGCCAAG